TTTGACCCCGCCCCCCATTATGCAGGCCCCGCCCCCTGAGTGGCGAGCTCCGCCCACTTTTCAAAAATGCCGGAATTTGCACGAATTCATTGATTTTGAGCTATTTCCAGCATTTTTTAAAAGTGGGCGGGGCTTGCCAAAAGTGGGCGGAGCTTCCCCGCCCACTTGCATTTTTGTACCTCACGCATAGATGCATACACACATATATGCAGCCGGCTGTGAAAATGCCCGGAAACGGTTCGTCCACAGGGACAGACGTCAAAAAAACAGCTCGTCGTCAACGTGTTAAAGATATTGTCTCCCCAAACCCTCGAGCAGGTTAAATAGCAACATGTTAATCGTAAGCGTGCCGAGACGAAACAGCACTTTTTAAACGTTAAACAGAGACCACCACTCACGGCTGGGCGCTAGGGCTGGAATGAGGAGACCTGGGCTATTCGGGTGTAAACAAAACCGACATAGCTTCAGAAATGGCACAAGTTCTTTTGTTTAGGCTATGCAGTATCTTTTCTGTTCATCCTCGGATTTGTGTTTGAAATCCATCACGCTTCTGAGTTTTTCGCACCGTGCTTCGATTACTGGTGACAGTATAGACACTCTAATGTAAAGTTCTGTAATCTGATGCGCTGCTTTCGGTGCATGCCTATAGAGTTGAGAGTAGTGGTCTCTATCTATCGTTTGTAAAGGTGAGCTGTGCGCACATTGTACGAGTTATTCGACTCAATGCTGTTTAATCTGATATGGCAGAGCTTGGGAAGACAATTTCTCATAAGTTCTTCACTTCGAGGCTATGACGAAGGCGAGCAAGCTAAAACGTTAGCCGTAATAAATATTATAACAGTTTTGGTGTGGCTAGAGCAGTCAAGAATATTTTGAAAATGCCAAGATTTTTGAAAAGTTGATCAATAGAATGCTAAAATGCCCATTTAATCAAGTTTTAGTTCCCAATTTGGCTTTGGCCTACTCTTTTCAACTACGAAATATTCAGTTGATCATATCTATTAGGTCATTCCGAAAGTAATTTCGCTTTTTTTTCAAATTCGCGCCACATCTGAAGGAACAAAGCTTTCTGAGAGGTCTTGGTGGCATTCGATGCAGAATTTCATCCTCTTTCTAGTGCTTGTAAAACCTTCGCAGCACAGTCAATGAGCTCTCTGAAAATCCACAGATTCTGCCACCGATGCTTTTTGCTATGGTTAAATTTAGCTATTTTTCAAAATCTTTATCAATCATCTGAAAGAGCTCAAGAGCGAATGGATAGAGCAAACCCTTTAGAATATGGAACAATTTTTCTCTCCTTTCCATAACTCGTCATATTTTTTGATACAATTTTAATTGATGCTTCCAACTTCAATTCTTGGTCAACTTATACCATGTAGAACATCAAGCGGTGAGCAGCTCGGGTGTCCGTCGATGCAACTTGTTCTCCTTTTTCTAATGGGTGTTTTTCGTTTCCGATTCGTTCAGTCTTCGGGAAATCATCATATCTCATTTTTCCAACAAGCCTAAGGCTGTGCCCGTAAAACTCAAAATTTGATATTTCGAATCCGTAAACTCTCATTTGCTTTGTAAAACCTATTAAGTCATAAACTATTTTGGAAGTTTCAAATCCGAATAATTACTGGTCTTTGATGCGATTGTGGCTGACGTAGACCTGCCAAAATCCGATGTTTTGGTAAAAAATCTTTTAAAAAATTACGGCGAGCCATGAAAAAGAGAGAAAAAAAGTTGTACTGTATTCTATGAGGTTTGCTCTATCTAATCGCTACTTCAACCCTTTCTTAGGGTTGATATGAAAGTTTAATTTGTGAAACTTGGCCCCATCTCAAAAAGCATAGGTCGCAGATTGTGATTAATTTTTGAAAGCTCATTGACTGTATTGCAACAATTTCATGGCCATTAGAAAGAGGAACGCTATGTCGAACGCTACCAAGATCTTTTAGAAATCTTTGTTCCATCGAATGTGACGCCCGTTTGAAAAAAGCGAAATTACTTTCGGAATGACCTAATATTTAAGAATAGTGCTAATTTTCGAATTTTCGATACAGCCTTTCTGTTAGATCTGAATAAAATGTCTAGTATGTATAATAAAGTGCAACATTTACCATCATAAAGAGTATAGAAGATACACCAGATTGGTTTTTCGCACAATCAAAACAGATTTTTCTTTTCGAGTGGTTATGCCATAGATAGGACTGTATTCATCGGAGCACATGGAATAACGATTAACTTTGACTTTGCGTTAAACAACCAATTTGGACAATGTCAAAGAATGACTCATTTGGAAGTCATTTACCACAAACTGTGTAAAGAAGAAGAGAGCGCATCAGAATGGCTTCATGGTCGGATAATGAAAGGCGCAAAAATGTAAACTAAAAAAAATCGTTCAGGAAAGATCGGCTTTTGGCTTTCGCTGCTTGGAAATAATGAAAAGCCGCACACGAAGATGAATAACGCGTGACTCTGCAGGAGCGTTTTTGATGCATTTCCTATTTCACATTCTTGACGAAGAATTTGTTAACGTGGAAAACACGGCTGGCAACAAAGGAATGAAAGATTCAAAAATTTCTTTTCAGCTTTGTAAATATGCTTTTTTCAATGAACTGGTAATTTATAAAAGCTGCAACTTTTTACAGGAAAGTTTTGTTCCGAATGTACAATTTCCAGAAGGATTTCTACTGTATGAGCTTGGCATACTGTAAGCTTGCCTTCCTTTTTATCCGTATTTTAATGAATAATAACAGAATAATGTTATCAAGTAAAGTTGTGTGATTAACAATTCCATAAACTCGTATATACGTTCCTGCTCGCTTTGCAAAAATAGTAATGAAACTTCACTTCTGCGCCTATCACCCACTGAATTTTTAATTTCCAGGGTCGAAGCAAAAAATGTCATCCGTTGGCTTTAAACGTCATTCATTATGCAAGGAACTGCAACGGATGAAAGTTAATGAAAAATGCTCATAAATACTTCAATTTTCACAGCGTATTCAAAATAAACGTTTCTGCAATAAAAAAAGAAAAGTAATAGTAGTTGAGTGATAGAAGCCAACGTGACTCTTCGCTTGTTGACAACAGCAATTTCCTTAGAAATTCGCAGCAACTGTTGATTGGCTCTGAATAAAGTTCGAAAGTTGAGTGCTGTTTGAGCTTTAAAAACTAGGGACTATATATTTCAATTCGTTTTCTGTGGGTATGGTTTTTACTATATGGAAATTGCAAAAATCTTCTGCACCTCTGTAATTTGAATCTGAAACTGCAGAATCTGAAAAAAGATGAGAAAAGAAATGATGTAAAAGAAAGCACAGGAATAGATATACATCCTGTTCTGGGGCACACAGAGAGGGGGACCGGGGGGGGGGGGGGGGGGAGGGGGAGGTAGAAAATTCCCGTTGTTAGAGTCACAAAAGTTCTAAGTGGCCAGCATGAGTTATAATATTGTACTGACTTCTAAATATATAAAATGATTTTTGAAATTCTTGAGAAATTCAAATCATCTTTGCAAGGGAATTTTTGGGGCCTCGCTGCCGCCAGTATTCAGAGTTATAGCCTAATAGCGCAAAATTTTTAGTCAAAAAATCAAAAATTTAGGAAGTGGTTAGCGCTAGCCTCTAAGTTGAAAAATTTCTTGTTGCTCCCTTTTCCCCCTACCCCCCCCCCCCCCCCCCGCCCCGTAAATTTTTTTGCCGTCATTGATCTTATTTAGGTCGATGCACAATTAATGCACATCAGAAATGTATAACATACCATGAAACATATCATTCGATAGAGCAAAGCAAGTCCTACAAGAAGATGTTTGAACAATCTCAAAAAGTTTTATAAAAGGAAAGTTGGGAAGAAAAATCTAAAGTGTCCCAAAATTCAGAGAAATGCTAGGAATCTACAACTTGGTCAAAAACATTGCTTGTCGCATATGCGTATGTACATTGCTGTATTTTTTTCCAGATAAAAATTGAGAGAGTAAATCGCATGTTCTAGCAAAATCAATGCTGAATTGTCCGGATATAAATTTTAGAAATATCAAATCTGACCTAAAATCCCCAAAAGTTCTTGGCTTACTTTCGTTTCAAATTTCCAGTCATGAAGAAATAAGGTAAGTGTACATATGACTTGTACATATGACTATCTTATGTGTGTAGTATATGCTTAATCAAGTTAGGAGTTTGCAGGATCTTTTCGACGCAAAGCTGATTTTTCGAGCATAAATTTTCTAGATTTTTTCCGCAAACTACAGGTAGACTAAACTTTTTCGAATAATTAATTACTGTTTTGTAGAGCTTGCCTTGCTCTATTGAATGATTTATTTTTACACTTTTATGGCCCCGGACAGACTTCACGCGACTTACTCGTCGCGATCTAATCGCCAAGATTTCCATTCATTTTCATTTCACATTCAAAAATTTCGGGCTGGAAAAGTATCACAACCGAATGCAAGTTGATCGGCATGGAATGATGTTGTAACAGTTGCCTCGTCGCGATTTAATCGCGACGATCAAATCGCGTGAACTCTGCCCGGGGCCTATAACGGTCACTTCGTGCAGCAAAATCGGAAGACTATGAACTAACATGGTTCCCATCAACCAGGCAAGTCATTCCAGAAGTTGGAGGCTATTCAGTAGTCCTCTGCGACGGTAAAGATAGGATGCAGAATTTACTCAAAGGGATCGGTAATTAGTGGTTTTTTATGCATTTTCTTGATTTTATTCATTTATTTTATTTTTGATCTTTTACGCAGAATTTCATGCCTTCTTCCGCATACCCAGCGTGCTACTGAACGATATTCTGCTGCTTTCAACAATGGGAAATGTGTCAACTGAATTCAAAACTAACATTCAAAGACTCGCTGCAGGCAAATAGAGGAAATTCAATCTACAAAGGTGTGGAAGTCCAATAATTTAGGGGATACAAAGAACATCATGTGTGAAATTGGACCTTAGAACTTTCATAAGCTTCTGGGGAATGCTAAACGTTTCCAGGCTCTTTTGGGCTGCAAAAAATAAGCCGATTCTCATATGTGGGCGAAGGTGCCACGCTCGCGGACTCCTGCAATAATTCCGCGCTCCAATCGTGACCTGCGTCCTTTAAGAGCTTGACGGCGACGGTTTCGGCATTTCTCCAAAAAGTCTTGCTGCTTGCTGAATCTTTATAAGTCTGTCTGTTCAAATATGTCCAGCGACGAGAGCGATGGCGATTATCAGGAACCGCAACAAGAAGAACCCGAAGAACAGGAAGAGGAAGAACAGGTATGGCTTAAATTTCAGTTTGCGTATGAAACTGTGAAACGCACTTTCTGCTCTTGTGTTTCCCAAAACCAACGTCTAGGCAAACAGTGGTTCTGGCTCAGAGCACGAATCGGGAAGTGAAGAGGAATCCACGAAAAAGAAAAGTAGGAAGAGAAAGGTGCCCTTTTTTGATCTACCACAGATGATCGAGTATCCTGAGTATCTCTGTATTCTGCATGGTTTTCAGATAAACTCGGATAGTGAAGAAGAGGAAGAGGAGGAGTCCGCTGATGAAAATGACAGTGAAAACGAAGATGATTCGGATGGCTCGCATAAGAAGTCGAAAAAGAAGAAGAAGAAGCGGGTATGTGTGCTCTTCTGTGATCAAGTTACGTACTTGCATCAGCAAATTTCCATTTTGCTTTGTTTACCATCTAATTTATGTACTAGTTATGTTATATTTTCAGAAGGATCGAAGACCACGCGGTTCGGATTTCATCTTGCAAGATGTCGAAGTAGAGGAATCTGATCAAGACGAGGATGAGTGGGATGAGGATGAAGATCGTGCATTGGAGCCCAACGAAAAAGAAGAGGTAAGTTTACTACCTCACGTTTGCAAAATACTTGTAAATGGTTCTGTTCAGGCCGAAAAATACATGAAACAACTTGATGCGGAGAGAAGGCGGAACGAACGAAACAAATTCGCGTAATTGCTCATTTGGTTTCTTTAATTTTGAGACAACAAGCTATGATTCATGTTCAGAAACATGAACGAAGACGAAATTGGTCGTTATTTCGAGAACAAATACAAAACACAACCCATCAGGGATCTTATGGACGATGATTCTGCTTTGGGTTAGTTCCCAAAAACTAAAAAATATATATAGCGATGAAAATTCAGCATTCAACTAGCTAAAATGCTTGGTTTGAGAATGTCAGGACAATTTTCGTTGTTTTTGTTGGTTTTAACAAGAGCCATCCTCAATTTTCTAGATGATATCTCACAACATGGGCTTCTTCCATCAACTAAGGATCCCAATCTGTGGATTGTGAAGTGCCGAATGGGTGAAGAAAAACTTGTTGCCTTGCAGCTGATGAGAAAGTTCTTAGCGTTTGAGAATTCTAATGAGGTGAGTTTCTATAAAACTTAATTTTTTGTATACATTGCAGTCGAGATGTTTAGCCACTGCAAATAAAATCCGTTGTGGTCAAAGAAGGACTGAAAGGAATCATTTACATTGAAGCCTTCAAGCAGTCCCATGTGGCTAATGCTATCAATGGTGTATCAGCGCTTAATCAGTTCAATGTTACGGTAAGTACTCAATTTTTTCGGTGTTACATCTATTTACTATTTACTTTTTTTACAGATGGTACCAATTAAAGAAATGGTTGACACTCTCAGAGTCGTTAAAGATATTCCACAGCTGAAAGTGAACTCTTATGTTCGACTCAAGCGAACCATGTATAAAGATGATCTCGCCCAGGTGTGTAACTCATTTGCTCGATCTAAAAGAGTTTACAATGCATTTGCAGGTCGACTGGGTAGATGTTGCTCAAAGCAAGGTGAATCTGCGAATCGTCCCGCGTATTGATTATACTCGCATGCGTGGTGCTCTAAGAACGGTAACACATTCCAAGTTGTAGTAAGGATTACTCAGAATTTTTATTTCGAAGGACGCTGATCGAAATCACAAAGTAAAGCGTCGTCCAATGCCAAGGCTTTTCGACTTGGATCGAATCAAGTGATTACCTTTTCACTACTTGTTATTGCTAAACAAACAATTCGCTTCAAGAGAAATTGGTGGCGAAGTCACGAATGATGGCGACTTTGTCATTTTCGAAGGAAACAGCTACCGTCGCGGTTTTCTGTACAAGTCATTCCCTATGAGTGCGATCGTAAGTTGCTTCACTTTGCTTCAACCATACTTTTCTTATCGTTACATCGTTAAGGTTGCTGAAGGTGTGAAACCAACTCTGGCAGAACTGGAACGTTTCCAAGATACGAGCGAGGATTTGAAGAAAGAGTGTGAGTTATCTTTTTCACAGTAGAATATTGAGTTGACGGAGACAATGCTTCGGCTCCTTTCATTTCATTCGAGTTCTATTGGATGCTTCAGAACAGATTGCAGTTTTTTGCTTGTCATCATACAGTTCTGTATTGATCCTTTTACAGTGGAATCCACTACTATCAAAGACAACACACATTTCTTCGCACCTGGTGACAATGTGGAAGTTACCGAAGGTGAACTTGTAAATCTTCGTGGTAAAGTCGTGAGCGTAGATGGACCGAAAGTCGTGATGATGCCGGATCATGAAGAGTTGAAGGTACTTTGAAAGCGTTTTCTACAAATTGTGGTTTTGAATTTTCTCCCTTCAGGAACCGTTAACACTGAACATAAACGAGTTACGCAAATACTTCCGTCCCGGAGACCATGTAAAAATGATTTCGGGACGCTATGAAGGCGATACTGGTCTTATTGTACGAGTAGAACATAACCTTGTCGTTGTTCTCAGTGATTTGAGCATGGACGAGGTATGTTACTGACGCACATTAACTTTGGTTTTTAAACCTAGATTGTTTTTAGATGAAAGCTCGTCCACGTGACGTACAACTTTGTGCCGATATCACCACTGGTGTTGACTCGCTTGGACAATTCCAGTTCCATGATTTAGTCCAATTAGATCAACAGAATGTCGGCGTCATTGTTCGGCTAGAAAAAGAGACGATGGAAGTGCTCAACCAGCATGGAAAGGTAGTCAAGCATCTGTCTGCAAGCTTTTTTCTATTCTGTTATATCCCGAAAGATTTTCTATCGTTCTGGAACCTTATAAGCAAGCCTTTTCATACTTTGTGTATTGCAGCTTTGCATGCGCTATTGTCCCTTCTCATCACGTGTTTTGTAGGTAATTCGAGTGAAGCCTCAAGCCATACAGGGCAAGAAAGACACTCGACATTCCCAAGCGCTTGATAGTCAACAGAATCCTATCCAGTGCAAAGATATGGTGAAGATCATAGATGGGCCGTTTGCCGTGAGTTCCATTTTTAGCTTACTTTTTAGTGGATTCAGGTGACCATTGCAGGCTAAAAAGAATGAAGAAGAAAAGCAGGGTGAAATCAAACATGTCTATCGTTCCTGGGTTTTTGTATTTTCAAGAAAACACATGGAAAATGGTGGGATGCTTGTGTGTAAAGCCCGTCATCTCCTTTTGATTGGTGCCCGTGCTGGGTCTACTCGAAGTAGGATTTTTTTGCAATTTTTTCCTTGCTTCACTTTTATATGGAACTTGCAGACGAGCTACCCACAATGAATCGCCTTGCTATGTCCAGTCCAAACCCTTTCCAATCACCGCGGCACAATGGAAGTGCCACACCGGCACATTCAAGCTCGCAGAGTGTTAGTGGATATAGTGTTGGAGGCAAAACTCCGAACCACGTTGGTGAGTGTTCATTTCGCTCACCATCATCGCCACTGTATTGTTTCACTTGTGTCGCTTTTTTCATTTTCATTTGATGTTCACATGCAGACCGTTATTAGGCTTTGGTGATTATTGTGAATCAGATTATTTTGTTTTACATCGGAATCCGGTGATTGAATTGATTGCCACGCATCACATTTGTGTTACCCCTAATGACGATACCTTGTTTAGCTGGATTTGGCGGAGGTATGGGCGGGGGACCGAATAAGATCAGGCGAGATAACGCTATAATTGGAAAGAGCGTACGCATCACACAGGGACCTCTCAAGGCTGGTTTTTGTTTTCCTTACGATTTATGATTTGGGAAATGAGTTGGCAATAATCAGCTTTGCTTTGATTTCCAAAAAATTCCTTCTCATCGCTGAAGTTTTCTTGCCAAAAACAGTGTTAACGCATTCTAGGGATATTTCGGCATTGTTAAAGATGCCACAGAGCAGACGGTGCGAGTGGAGCTACATACTCAGTGCAAGGTCAAATTAGTACTTCCATAAATTAGCAGTGCAAGTCAAGATCATCTATTTTCAGACTATTTCTGTGGATAGATCACGGATAGCGTGTGTTGGGGATGGTACACCTGGTGGATCTGTTTCTGCTATGTCCCAATACGCCAAAACTCCATACCAGGGAGACGATGGACGTACACCTATGTATGCTGGAAGCAAAACACCCATGTATGGCTCAGGTGCGAAGACGCCGATGTATGGCGCGGATGAAGGTAGAATTTTGAAGATATTACTGCCCATTTGCAGAGGTTTGACTTTTTGTTATTTCAGGAGGCAGAACTCCATTTGGTTCGCATACGCCTGCTTATGACAGTTCTCGAACACCGGCTTATGATGGCGGACGAACACCTGCGTATGATTCCGGAAGAACGCCAGCTTACGATGGAGGGCGCACTCCTGCTTATGATGGTGGTCGAACACCGGTCTATGACAGCGGTCGAACTCCCTCGTACGATTCTGGCAAAACTCCTGCGTACGATGGCGGCAGGACTCCTTCATATGAAAGTGGTAGAACTCCTGCGTATGACAGCGGTAGGACACCTGCATACGAAGGTGGACGAACGCCATCCTATGAGGAACCTGCTGCTGCATCTACCGCACGCAGGGATAGCAGCGATGATGAGGTATGCAATGGACGATTCCATTCTGTTCTTGTTTTAATCAGTCATTTAAGGATCATGAGCCGCAATATGAAGCCCCTGCTTCGCCATCCTACAGTGTGCCAACACCAGGAGCAAATCTCAACCCGCAGACACCTGGTTTTGCTCCAGAAACACCAATGGGTAAATAAAAAGATACGATTTTTCTATTCGTAATCAGTAAGATTCGTACTGCAGGTAACTACAATCCAATGACTCCTGGTGGAATGTACGACTATTCCGCACCCTCTCCTTATGTGCGTAATACATACGAATCCTATGGTGGACAGAAAATACGTGAGTCTTTTTCGACAAGAATCCATGTTCCAATGATTGTTTCAAAAATACACATATGTTTTCCAGCTGCCCACTTCCTGGAAGGCGGTGAATGGGTAATGGAAGATTTGTTTGTGACTATCAAGAGTAATCACGATGAGGATCGCTTCCAAGATCGTGAGGCTATCGTTACGAGTGTACAGGTGCGGTTTCGACAACCTTTAGTATCATCGAAATCCAATAAAAAATTTCTTTTTCAGGACGGTCGTTGTCAAGTTTATATTCCTGATCTAAAGTGCTCGGCTACCGCTGATTTCGATCAAATCGAACCGCTAAAGCCGCAGGAGGGTGACTACGTAAGTCCAGTCCCTGCTATTGTCTTGAATTTATACGCATAGGTGTTCTTCCAGACTCGTGTAATCTATGGAGACGAAATGGGTGTGATGGGTCAGCTTATATCTGTTGATGAAGCTGATTGTGTAATCAAAGTTGGTGCGGATGACATGCGTTTGAGTCCTCTTGAGTTCTGCTGCAAGTTCAGTAAACGATAAGAGAAAAACATACTGATTGTGAAGTTTTGTCGGGTGTTGGTTAGTTTGTATAACCTTTAGAATTATCTTACATAAAATCTAAAATAATCTTTCTTACTGAAGATCCGCTTGCTTATTTATTGATTAGTTGCTGTAGTTTTCTATCTAATCAACTATGTTTAGTTTGGGCTTTTAGGCCCTCTGATGTATATTGTAATGAATCTACACTGTTGAAATGAATAAAGGAATGTTTTATTGCAGAGAACGTCGTTCTAGAAAATTTTGCTTTTCATTTTTGATGCTATCCTTGCAACATTTTCGAACTGTTTGATTTCTTCTTTCCAACCAGTGAAGTAGTCATCCACCATATATGGCAAGTTGTTATCTGCGCAAAATTGCTTCACTATCGGCATGACCTAGAAATGTAATTTTTTGACTGCTTAGAAAAATGGCGTTTCGTACTTTGCTCAAGTTGTGTCGTGGCATGGTTGGGAAAAGATGGTGTTCTATCTGAAAATAGACATGCTCTAGTAAATGCAAAAAGCGAGTTTTTCCAAACCTGGTAATTTAGACCACCCCATAACCAATCAATGATGGGTCCAGGTCGCATATTACGAGTAGTGTAGACTTGGAGACATGCATAGTTCGACATGATTCTTGAGGTATCTGAAATCATTTTTTTGAGGGATTTTGTAATTTTTTGTCAAAACTGTAATAGGGTATTCTGTAACATTATTTGTAGAACCATTTCTTTAGGTGACTGCTAGCTTATGGGAACTTACATGGGAACTTTTCCACTGAATAGTGGTTATATGTCACAACATGCGCCAGTAAAATTCCTCCTGTCAGCTGAGACACAGCAAAGAAGATCAATCTAAAACGATGTTATTATCAAAAGTACAAAATCCTTCCAATCAGCATACCGTATTTGCAATGTGGGAAGTAGGTATAACTGTGTTAGGACCAATACCCAATGTAGAGCAAGAGCGACCTAAACGTATATTAGAGCAATCTTCAATTTTTCAGAATTTTTCTAAGCTCACACCTGCTCATATATAGCTCGTTCTCTGTAGTACTTGTAGTAATGGGTTGGCATTCCTTGCACAAACACTATCGACTGTACTAACCAGCTCAGCCGAAGTAAGGGTAACATTATTGTCCAGTAGATGTGTTGGTATGGTAGAATAGTTAGGTACCAGTTGTCGGCATTCTGAAAGATATTGTGAAAGCGGTAATAGGATTAAGAGTAGACGTGCATTTTTGTGCAATCACACTATATGACCCGAGTTTTGAAAGCGACTATATCTGGATTGAAGACAAGATAGTGCTGCAACGTTTTCCTCAAACGATTGAATAAGGGGAACTTACTTTGAGATCTTGTACAACGGTAGAAAAGAACGGCATCAAATCGAGATCTCCATCACGTCCGACGACATTGGTGGCAGCATGGTGAATATTATGTTGTTCTTTCCAACCACCAGATGAAAATCCTTGCAAGAAATTGCCTACGAAGTAGCTGAAATGTGATGTTCGGTTCAAAGTGATTGTTTCAGAGGGCTGAAGTTTTTCTGCGTATATTTGTAGTAAAGTTGATGATTCATATAATGCCCATTCGAAGCAGACAACCGCTGCAACACTGTTGACAAGGCATCTTAGAAAGACATAGCGCTGAAAAAATGTGCTTATACAGTCCGTCTCAACCGCAGTGCCTGTTTCGCATACCGTGACATGCACGCGCAGCGCGAGGGTGGGCGTACCAGACTCCGATCGATAATGCGTGGACAAATAGTAGTGCGGGCAATGCCTAAGATGTTCAGTTTACACGGTCAATATATCGGTATGACAGAACTACTTTTTCACGCGCAATTGTTGTCGGCAATGCATTGGAGCCATTTCCAAAAATCGCTAATACACTAGCCCAGATGAGTACCGTGATTCCGTCAGTCTACTATGTTTGAAATTTTACCCGCTGCAACACTGTTGACAAGGCATCTTAGAAAGACATAGCGCTGAAAAAATGTGCTTATACAGTCCGTCTCAACCGCAGTACCCGTTTCGCATACCGTGACATGCACGCGCAGCGCGAGGGTCGGGCGTACCAGACTCCGATCGATAATGCGATTTCACCCCTAACGAACGCGGCAAGACACTGCCGATGGGATGTACCGAACATGGGGAAGCTAAGAATGAGACGAATTGTACATCATTGTGCCCAATAGGTGACTGTAGCATACTGTAGCGGTGCAAAAGGTTCTTCTGAAATGGGTAGTTTGGTTGATGACGAACTTACCTAGCGAGATCGTTGTGCCAGTGATCCTTGAATAGCTGGTTATGTGCAAATTCATGGACTAGCCAACCTAGCTGCTGCCAGGCTAATCCCATAAGTAGGGCAGATGGAATATACCAGCCTTTCAGTTGAAGAAATACAGCTAGTGTAATAATAAGCAAGGATTCTATCACCTGAAATAGAAATATATAACTCGTTAAAGAAAGTGTAAAATTGCTAGGCTCTCACTTTTCTAATATAGAACAAAAAGCTGCCATCCATGAGCCCTTCTCTCCTCACTCGCATTCGTAAATGTTCAAAATTCTTCGAGATTTGAGCGCTTTGTTCTTCACTGATATCGAATGTGCCCATATTCACATCCTCATACCCTGGCAGCATTTCTTCCTTTAACAAAAATTCATTTTAAAAAACATCGATTATCTCAAATTGCTTACGACCTTTTCCTCTACTATTTTTGGATCCTGTGTTGGGCATTTTGCTTTGAGTTCTTGTAACCATTTGTATGCTTCCTTTGATTGTGCATGAAATGTGTGAAATACGGTCGTGGCCTAAATTATGCGAATTTTGATTATGATTGAACACTGATTGAAATGTCAATATATACAGTCAATATATAGTAATATATCTATTTTTTTAAGACAAACATTATAGCCCTGCTTTCTTATTCATCTTTTTGGTTATCAAAATATTCTAAACAGATTTTCATTGTAGGCAAACAACTGACATAGAAAATGAAGAATTTGGAAGAGGAGACTTCATTTTGAGCAAAAATGATGCCTATGGCTTCAACGAAATCGAAAAGAAAACGAAAGAAACGAAATGTTAAAAACGTTTCTATCTCGTGAAACACTCATTTTCAAAAATTATTCAGCAAATCAAAAGTTTTCTTCTCCATTTTGCTGGCTTTATGCTCAGATTTTATGAGAGCATGAAATGGGATTATTTCAGATAATTAAATATCAGCATTTTTTGCGCAAATGTTTGATTTTCGCGTATGCAGAAATGTTGCAGGCGCACATCTTATCAGTTCCGGAGCAATAACATTGATTATGAAACTATTTTTGGGCATCTAAGATCCGGAAAGAAGCTATTAATTCATATTCTAGCTCCCTCCTGTTTAACACAAGAAATGAATGGTGAAAGAATCTAAGCGATGGGAGGACTTCACAAGATCACAATTTTGGGTATTCAAAATTCTTGTGTTATTCGGCGTCAAATTATGAGCGCGATTGTTTGACTAATCTCAAATGAAAACCATTTTTTGCTCACAAAGCTCACAAAGCACGTACAGGTGAGGAATCATAATTGGTTAAGCTATTTGTGATTGAAGGAATTTTGATACAGCATTGATCAGATTCATTTGAATGGGTAAGGAATGATACGAATAAAGTGGCTATGGGAGGAATTCAAAAATTTGTTGGAAGAGGTAGATCTTCTTTGTGTTAAAATACTCAATGGAGAAGTAACGGCAGCTGTAACATTGATTGGTTTTCTTTAAGGCTTCAGTGGATATAGAAACATCCTTCTACGATTCGAGACATGCGAAATTTAGGACTAAGAATTAGAAAAATTGAGCAATTTTTTCCAAGCCAAAAATACTGAACTTAGCCAAAATGAGCAAATTTGAAAAAAAAAACATTGATGGTTTTTAGGTTGTATTGTGGCCATATTCAGAGCACTACTAAAAAACGCAGAATTTTCTAGAAAACCTATCGAATCACATACTATTATATAGACTGATGGAGGTGGGAGGACTTATTGGGAGGTATTCCTGATACACAAAAATTAGGGCTCGACCAAAATTTTCGCGATTTCAGCGATGAGACAAGATTGTAAAGAATGGGGATCATATTAGAATTTCTTCTACATTTCCAATTTTGTTTATGGAACTTATTTAGATCACTTCGCTTTCCAGCATTCAGTGTAACATCTGCTAGAGAGGGCAATGAACAGCGAGCCTTTCGATGGTCTGATACCAACTATCGCTTAGCGAGATATTTTGTAGCGTCGTAGAAGTTTGATAAGTCAGAGTTCAACGCGGAATTGGGGCGAAATTTGAGACAGTCCAAAAAATAACAATGCGTAGCAGAATATTCAAATACCCGATGGGTAACCTTCTATCTCAAGTTGAGATATTTAGGATAGATGTCTTTAAAATTCAACATCAATTTTTAGATACATTCTCACTCACAAAGGCGATATTGAGAAGAATATGATTCAAATAAGGCTAAAAATGGATAATGATGATAGATGATATCATTTTTGATACTAATAAATGTGAAAACACCTAAAGGTTTATTTTAGTCCTGAATTAAACGTGCTCTATAGACAGAGCGTCACTACTAATTCAAAGAAGACTAGTGATAGAGCAATTGTTCAGCACTATTCTGAAAAGATAGCAAGGTTCCGGAGTATTTTTTGATGAAAATATAGTGAAATTTCTCATACAAAATAGTCATTTATCTGACGAAGGTTGTCGTAGTCGTTTTTCTGGATTCGAAGGTTTTCATTTCTTGAACTCCTCTTGTCGTCCGCTTTCAGAAAGTATGCTTGCTAGGAAAAAAGGATTTTGCTATCAGGTGAAGGTGGAAATTTTTTCCTGTCGCATCGTAATTTGCGCTCCATTGCGAAATCAGCCGTTGGGTTGCTGTACATCTTTCGTCTCTCGTGTTCCTGCATGTCCTCCTCTTCACTTTTAGCACCCTTTCTCTTCCGCGATCTATATATTTTCTGAAAGCGGTCTACGAGAAAAATTCATTGAACAGTTTGAACAAGTGAAAATTTATTGTGAGGAATTAAGATATTTCTGAAAATTCTAACTCCCCTTTCCTCAAGGAAGTTTCCGACAAAGATTTGAAAAACGTTCAACCATTCTGTTAAATTTACCTGATATCTCGTATTTTTTAGCAATAAAGAAAACGCAAATTTTTTAATAATTGATTGAAACCTACATCTTTGTTTCGATAAGTCGTAATTGCACTGCCTCCGGGATGATTTCGGAGAACTTCTTCGTTTACATATACCCATTTTCCGTCGATTTTCAGGTAAAAAGGACTGTCGTCGATTTTACGTATCACCATAATAAATACTGGTGCAGTTACCCTGCAAATTGTTTTGAAATTGGAGTGAAAACAGAAATCAGAAACTTGAGCAAATGAAGGATTTTTATGCAGAAGAAGGTAAAAGACGGGAAAAAGTGGTTTTGAGATTTAGAAAATTAGAGAAAAGACAGAAAAAGGTGTTTTTGGGTTGTAGAAAATTAGAGTTTTGGTGATTAAAAAATCCTCTAAAGACTGTCATAAAGAATGGCACAACGAGAAAGAGTGGCGAAATGCGTGAATGGACCCTCGGCGATTGATAACGCAGTGCGGCTCAGGCTTTGCAGCAGAGCTGTGGGAATTTTTCTTCCAAACAAAAAAACAAACGCGATCCAAAGAAATGCTCTTGACGATCAATATGCGCAATGTCGGGGGCTTGGTCAGCGGGGGAACGACCCCGTCGTGACCTTCACCTTACTCGGTTTTCTTCCACATCTGCTAATGCATGTCTCTGTTTGCGGGTAGCAGCGCTTGCCCACTTATCCATCGTTCTTTGGAAGAGCAGTGGCCAAGCGGATGGTATGTCTTATGGGTCAAAATGTAGAAATTTTGATAGGGAAGTTAATTTTTGAGCCACTCAAAGCCTTACAAATCTGGGCATACCAAGATCACAGATTCTCTCGGAGCGATGTTCCACAAAGAAGGGAAAGCAGATTTGAATCAGCGTTAAAAGACGCGTCTACTGATATAAATCTCCTCTTCAATCGCCAACTTGGATTATTTTCTTCCTATTAGATAAAAACTAGCTAGATTTTATTGTGCAATACGTTTGTATAATTTGGGAAATAGTAAAATCCTAAAAAGTTCACCTCAATCTTGGAAATTTTTTCCCAAAATCTTTTTTTTGAACAACTTTACGAAGAAATTTCGACTAGAATTCGAAAATTCATACAGGTGACGCAAATTTCACAATTATGTTCAGAAATTTTCAGAAATATCAAATGAAGAAAGATGTTATGATCATTCTCGAAAATGATTGAAAAACATAGTCAATCAAGCATGTGCTCTTTCAGATCGTCTGGTGAGGAGATTGATGTCATGTTTTTCAACTGGAATGACTGAATATAGTAAGGAATTGGCCAAAAATTATGTAGAAAAAACTGAGGAAAACAAGTTTTATTGTGGTAAAAGTTTTTATTATAGTTCCGCAGATGCACTCATATCACAAAAATTTCAACAACAAAAATGGCATAAAAGATCCCAACCCAGCGAAAGTAGCACCAAGTCTCTTAAAATTGGAGTTTAAATCCGACATCAGCAGTTTACGTAAAGTGTTCTTAATCGAAGACTGTCACCGTTTTTGCTATTTTTGGAGACGTAGGCTTCAGAAGCCGTTGTAAATCTGCTTATTCTGTCTATCAGATTTCGTATGGCAAGTTGCGTCCCGATGAGTAATTACAGCAAAGCAGTTCAGAGGGATCTGAACTTGTGTTCAAGGGAAAACAAGGTATTTCGATAATTCGTAAAAATTGCATTTTGTCTGCTTTCAGGGGTAAAAAATCATAAAGAAATTAACAGTATTGACCAAGCGACGTGCAATAATGCCTGAGAAGCTCAAGGTATTATGCTTCGTAAAAAACCAATGACAAGTAGAAGGTTTTTTTCCAGAACGACTATGGCTTTAAGAGCAAGATCCTGACTACTAATCCTCAATGAATATTCGTTGCTCGTTAGCCTGGAAAGACCGCTAATCTTGCGATCTTTACTCCATATACACACTTACGGAGGCGAACATTCGAGCGAACATTATGGAGAAAGAAATGTTTTGCTAAAGCTTAGGCAACCCGAAAAAAGCTTTCTGCTGGGGTTTTTTTGGGTTGTTGGGACTGGTAACAAATTTGATTCTTTTAGGCGTTTTGGCAGTGATCTGTCAAAAATTGGATGAATGAAGATAAGAAAAGAAAATCTGAATTTTTAAGTTGGCCAATAATTCTATTTGAATTATGTATGAAGATGTCTGGTGTGAAAATTCGTTAGCTTTTGAGTGCGAGAATAAGAAAAAAGAGCGACCTGAGGCAGTAATTGATGCAAAATTTGTAGAATATTTTTTCTCAATTCGAGGCCGGCTAAGGAAGTAAAATTGAAGAAATCTGATAAAAATCTCTTTTGTAAGCCACTCCCCATTTGCACTTTAGTGCCACCGGCCTTTTTATCAGTAGTAGGACTGTCTTTGATTGATCAGAAGCAGAAGCAACCTCGCTGATTCGCTTGATGCCAAAATTACTCTGTAAAAAATAAGTGTAAAGTAGCTGCTTTGCACTTTTGAGCTTGTCCGTTCCTTCCAAAAAAATTTCGTTAAAATTTGTGGCACTGAAAAAAATTGTAATCTGATACCCTTGTTGCCAAAATCACTCTATAGAAATAAATTCCTTGAGTGTGAAGCAGTTGTAATGTCCTTTTGAGTTTTTGTCCCTTTTTTTCAAAAAAAATTTTTTTCGTTGAATTTCGGCGGCACTCCATTTCTTAGGCTTGCTCCGAAAATTCTAATTTTCTTTCTCAAAACGTAGTGCAGTAGAAGACAATGAATAGAACTTTATGATTTTCGATACAAATAACAATTTCATATCGGACTAGAATATGAGATCACAGTATCACAGTAAAGGCAGAGAATTTTATTGTATTATTTCCCTTGTTGACATAAATTCTCTGCTATGAGCTCATAATAAGGACTCTATTTTTCAAAAAAATTACAATTTTACCTTGAAAAAAAAAACAGCCTAGAGCAAATTCTAACAGGGAAAAAGTGTTTTTTCACTAAAAATCGCTGTAGATATGTTTTGCGATAGAAAAAGCTAATGTATGCGTCAATACCAGACTTCTGGATAGATAAACATGGTGAAGTTGATGGCGATGAGCGAGAGATAACCGCAAAGTGAGACGTTCTCGAGTCGCTTGATGATCCGCTCCCAGAACGAACGCAATTGCTGATTTCGATGATGTGTTTGCTTGACGGAGATCACTTCTCGGAGGAGCGCAATAATCGTGTCCACCTTGCCACTAGCACCAGGATGCGCTGAAATTGCAGAATATTTAATACAAAGTGTTTCTGAAGTGTAGCTGATGCTTGGTGATGAAACGCAGCTATTATAGTTCTTTATTGAGATCCGCCATCAAATTTCCATTTGAAATGGTTCTATACAAAATTGCAAAGTAGGAGTGGGAAATTTGCAAATTGCTCAAGAGTCGGAAGAGTGAGTAGTGTTATGTGCAACTGCACAAGAAAACGCAGATTCGAGGAGAGGTTCCGTATGACCAATTATTTTGCAACCCATAGATTACTGTTATTAAATATGCTCCATAAGCATTGAAAAATCGAAGAAAATGATGAGAGTGGTTTGTTCGCTGTTAAAATAATGCAAATGCTCGTTAATATTGGCCGTAAGAAAAATTCGCGGCGCCAGATAGCATTTTTTTCGATGAGGGCTGAGCCTAACTGCATCCTTAAAAAAATTTCAAAAAGCTGAAGAATTTTCCCGCTGGAACTCTAACGACATAATTTCCTAGAAAGTCAGTCTCTGACTTTTCAAATTGTCCATCTTACAAGAAATAAATTCTACAAGTCAGGTACGCTACTTTCAAGAATTTTCATTTTCCCACCAATGCTTGATAAATACTGTAGCTTTCTTGTGGTAAGTAAACCCTACATCCAAAGCACTTACATTAAAAAAGCAATTCAAAGAAATTAACAGGTTCTGAAATTTGTGGAGCATTTTTATATTTTTTTTGGATCAATGTAGTTTTTTTTTCAATAACAATCGCATGAAGCAACTCAAAGTACATGGTTTGCGATGGAGTAGAGAGCGCAGCTGCGCATTAGAATGAGATTACAAAGTTTCCCTATTTATAAATTGTTTGATTTGCTATGTTACTTACCTTCAAGAAGTACTTCGCCATGAAGCGGTATATCGGTGTTTATCTCCGTAAAATTTACCTGAAATGGTTAAGTATGATTTACACTCAAAATATCTTTCCAATATTCTTTAGTGATCCCGAGTTGACATGCGACGAGCATTGAAGAGAATTACACTTAATGTCTTACAAACCTCGTTAGGAATCAAATTCTTCATCAAAGCGTGCTCAGGAGTCGATTGCAGGGAGACTGCCTGTAAAGCTCTATGATAAATGTCCAAATCTCACTATTCTATTTCACCAACCTGTACATTGTTGTTTCGCACAACGTCTTTACCATATCGAAAAGCTTTGGGGACATAACAACAAAAGAGTTTCTTGGCTGCTAACCATTGCAGATACCAGGGGACTGCCTATAGAAAATGGAAAGTTATTTAAACGATTGAAAAAATGCTGCAAAATTTGGCTTTAAACCAATGTCTCATTATTTTCCCGCCGAATCAGAAAGTTTACTTATTTAGAATTGGCGGGATTGTGAGAAATTTTTCAATAAATCGTCATGACCATTTAATATGCTACGTTAATACATATTCAAAGAATATTTATGTTTACGATGAATTAGTACGCTTTCTAGTACGCAGAGAATTCTGTGTGACAGTTCCTTATGTATGTTATGACATTGTAATTGCTCTCCGCTCAAAGGGTAATTACCCTTTGCTCTCCGCTCAAGGGGTAATTTGGCCACGTTCCGAGTAGCTTGTGAAATTACTGCGAGGCTCGGAAGACAACATAAATTCAAGGTACATAACATGATTCGTATGACATGCAACGAAGGCGATACTCTTTTTGGTAACCTTGAAGATAAGTCCTTCGTTCTAGATGCTCGAATTTTTTACTTTATCATGTTGCTATAGAAATGGAAGATGGAGTGTTGTTGTTTGTTTATCATAAAGAAGCTTTCAAAGAGCTCTTTCAATGATATATTAGGTGGGTCCAAAAGTTCGTGCCGTTTTTGGGACCCATTCTCAAATCTTTCAGTATAAAGGTAGATAAACATTCTAAGAATTTTTTTTGTGCAGAATTCTTCCTCTTTCCACCTGCTATGTTTCTGTTTGGATTCCTTTGATGTTCGCTTAGAAAATCGTCAGAACCTTCAAAACATCACACGGCAAATAGTTAGGGCCTTATTTGATGCAGCTTCTTTTCCTATTCTTGACGGATGTTCTTCCTTTTTGATTCGTAAAGGCCTCGACGAAAAAATGCCATAATTCTGATTTTGTGATGCGTCCCAGGTTGAACCCAAAATTTCATAAATCAGTCTTTGAAGACTGTAGAAACACGTTTGTCCTTTGAAATCAGTGTTCAAACATGATCGATTGGAAGTTCCTATTTGCGAAGATTACATAGTGTATGAAGCGTTTGTATATTTCACAACTTCGCAAATGGACTTTTAGAAAACTTGTTTTCAAAAATACTGAAAAGCCACCTATCGATGATAAAAAACTGGGTTTTTGTAGCATTTTGTTTACTCTATCCTACTGTCACCGAAGCATATCCAAAAGCCTAGAGCGAAAATTTCAAAAAATAGCTAAAGTTAGGGTACGTAAAATGCATGGGTTGGAGATTGTAGCGATTATTCAGAAGAACATTGAAGGAATCCGAACGAAAGCATTAAATATTCGGTTTTGTATTACATCAGCAGATGTTATTCCCTAGAAATAGGAAGAAATTCTGCATAGAGCACTTTTAAGAGTGTTCTATCTCTATTCTGAATGATTGGATAGGTCTAAAAACGGCATGAACTTTCGGACATAACTTTCCACCTAATAGAACTTTTTGGCCAAATCTTTTTTTAGTATGAAAATTCATTGTCACGGCTCCGCGATGCGAGCAGCTCCTCGAAATAGCGAGCCGGGAGCTCTGTTGCCGCACTGTTAGTCGCGCTACTACTTTCGCGGCTGGACCTCCCGCTGGCGCGCTGCCAAACAGAGGGCTATATGTAGTCGCGTCCAGAGCGGTTGTAACTTCCCCTCAGTTCATTGTCTTCTTTTCGAGTGTTGCTTATTGATTGGATTCTCATTGTCATTGGCAGCATCTGACAGCTCTCGCGTAAAAGTTTTGTATAAGCGGTCGCGCAAGTAGCTGGCTTGGAACTGAATGGCTCGCTTGTGGTTTTGAGAAGTCGAACAAGTACCATCCGCGGGAGTGAAGAGGATACCGTTACGTACGGACAATGCGTCGTGCGGCGGACATGAGAGGAACCCTCAGTACTTTTAGTGGAGGAAGTGTCTTCTGGGCCATCGGTGGCGCGGGATATCGCGGCTCACCCCGCGACGTAAGGGTTTAGAATTCTTAGTTAGTTTTAGTGTTGCTTTAGTATAGTCACTATCTGTGATATTTAAAATAAACTTATGTAATGTTCTATCTGTGTAAGATCTCCTGCGTTCTAGCCGCGCTTGTATTGAGTATGCGGGTAGGAGTGGTCGCGACACGGTCGCGCAGACAAGGATCCCGTGTGCACGGGCACTTATAACACCTTAGGAATAAGGAATCGGATTGCAGGTTGGCGAGCGGAAAGTGCTGAGCCCTAAGGAGCCGTAGCATTTATTCTTCTTTGGTAAATGAACGCTGCAAAAACTCAATCATTCCCCTACGTAAGCCAAACAATAACACTGTTAAATCAATGACATTTTGCGGAACATCTTGATTACCTAAAAAGTGATAGTTGAATCAACAAACATCCTGAGGAGACATCGTATTCCAGACTTCTCAGCCATTTTTCTAGTTTTGAATAGATAAACGTGAGAAACGCTTCATGCTTGTGTCCCTTATGCATGTGCCATATAAGTTTTTGCACGATAATAGCTTCCGAAAGCAATTTGCAACTGTGGGCGGCAAAACATAGAATAGAAAATGAAAGCAGTGAAACAAAAACTGGGTAGCGTATAAAACGCATAAAACTGAAGCCGAATTCGTATATCTGAAGTCTTGCTAGAGATGTAAAGTTGCTCTGGTAAGCAAGCAAGGGAAGAGGGAAAAGTCTCTAGTCTCTTTTAAATTTACATATTTGTCAGTTTCGGACCTCTTTTTTTGATTTGCAGATTCAGGACCAGAAGTTCTGCGTTGGAGATAGTTGCTCAAGCTTCAATTTGAACTCTAACTATCGCATTTGTAAATGGATTAATAGAATATTTAAGAAAAGAAAGAATGTGAACTTTCAATTAAAGCTTTTGCAGCAAAAAAATCCCAGAAAAATCTAAGTTAATTACTTGATCCATTATGGAGAAGTGCCTGGATTATCTTACCTGCCATGTAGGATTACGAAGAGCGTATTTCTCCAAATGAACAAATATACTAGACGTGCAGGTGGCTATACTGATTATGAAAATCAGACTCATGTAGTAGATCCCTGAAGTATTGATTTACCACTGTATCAAAGAATTGCAAAGATTCTTACCGAGTAAAGGAACATCGCTGAAAGAACCGCGTTTGCCTGGCACGCTTTCCATTGCAAATTTCATTTCACCGACTAACATTAATAGCATTACGGACATGGAAAGGAGAGTCATGATACCTGAAAACATTTGAAAATTGCTTATGTTGTTGCTGAGGTAATTTGAATCAACTGGATTGATGGCTGGAAGACTGGGCTTTGTGACTCAGTTAAGTCCGCTCGCGCCCGCGAACGGTCTGCGTCTTTCTCGCGCGCTTGCTCTCTGATCATTCTTTAGCCTTGACTAGATCACGAAGCCTCGCCTTCCAGCCCCAATGCATAAATTAAACGGTGCTATATTTTATTTACCAAGCCTAAATTTGCTTTCTCTTCTTCCTGTAGCATTGATTGGAGCATGAAATCCTATTACTGCTACCAGAGACACCTGAAACGAAGCACGGCTTGAAACTATTTGCTCCATTCACTAAACGAATTTGCAATACGTAAAAACAAAATGTTTCAGTCATCGATGCTTGCTTAAGTGAAGGGGCGGAGGAATAGCTGAAAATTGCAATTGCTGGGAAGTGAAAAAGATCTGTGCCTAATACATCTCATATTAGGTTGGCTCGAAAGTTCTTGGACATTTTCAAACGAGATTTTCTATTTCTCGAAACTTAATATTTGTACATCCAACAGAGAAACCTTTCGATAGAGCAAAGCAAGCTCCACACGCTGGTTCGAAGCTGGTGCGAACTTTTGCATACCGTCTGGTAGAGCTTGCTTTGCTCTATCGAATGGTACCTCTGTCGGATGTACATGTATTAAGTTTCGAGAAATAGCAAATCTCGTCTGAAAATGTCTAAGATTTCGAGCCAACCTAATAGTATTTGTCTAACATTATTCTAAGTGATTATAGGTCTAAAAAAGTTACAAACTCTTGGATTGACCTAAATCAGATATAAAGAAATTACTCTTTCATAGTATTTAGAAATTCATCGGATAACTTCTTGCTAATGTCTTTTAACTTGCGCAAATTTCAGGCGCAAGAAAATTAGCTAGAGAGAGCCGGCCTCGATTGTCATTTGCACTTTCACATCCAAAAAAGAGAGGAGAAACGAGAGAAGATTAGAGGAGGATGCACACGGCTAGTTATCTTAAGAATCGCAATTTTACAATTAAGGAAATTCCATACTTATAAATGATATTATGTTCCAAAGGCTTAAATTTGGACCTTATCTTCTGCAGGACAAGTTGTTCAGGCAAAAAAAAGACACTAAAGCAAGTTTCACTTGCAGCGTTACTTCTGGCGCAGAAACACAACAAAGATGATTTAAAGTTCAGCAAAAATCTAGAAAGATGACTTTGTGATTTTGATTTTATGCCATGGGGTCAAGTGGCGTAGTGGTAGAGGCGCCGCTTTGACCGGATCGGACCTAATCGTAATTTCGATCCCCGCCACTGAGCCATCTACCCTTCGGAGCCGATAAATTGTTACCAGAGTATTCTAGAAGGATAAAAGCACTGACTTGATAATCGCTTGGCTCCCGTAAGCCACGGTAATAGGCCCCTACGCATTCAGCAGCCCCTTCGATAACGAAGTAGAATGCGTTTGGCGCATGCCGCAGAAAGTATTGAAGCCGCCGAGTTCTTTATCCTTTATCTATTATATGTAGTACAGGTTTTGTTGGACCTTTTATGCCTAACCTTTCGACTAGTATCGTCTTCTTCGGAGGTCTGAACTCATCTGACGGTACGGTCGAATTAAATGGTACAGAAAGGAAAGCTCCAAAAACATCCTTGTCCACGCTACGTCAGCGCATCCTACAGCTCAAAAGCGTTTTGTTACATATCATACCGTACAAAACCGCTGCAGAAGTCTGTACGGGTGAGAGCGAACGATTGGAGTTGCTACAAATAGCACGCTAAATCGCTCACAGGAATGGATACATGGAGCCCAAGGCATACCTCACGCAATTTCAGTCGCCATGCAATCTGGCAATCTGCCAGATGTCTTCAGATTAAATACTGGTACCCCAAAGGCACAGCGCGTATAATTTTGGTAGGTTGATATATTGTTCTATCTTCCGTACATTCAGAAACCCCTTAGGGTTGTTTCAGACTGCCGCACTGACTGCAGCAGACTGCAGCAGACTGCAGCTGACTGTAGCTGACCGCACTTACCGCACCGGTCGCAGCCTCTTTTCTTAAAAGAAAACAACCGCGATTACCAAAACAGCGTGATTTACGCATAAGAAGATCCGTTCCATCAAAATTCTTTTCAATCAAATTTTGGCTATAGTTTTCTTTGAAATGTTCGTATTTGTTCTAATTCCTCCTATCATTGCATATACCTGTTTTGTAACATTCTAAACCGTGTTGTCTTTTGCTTTTACGTATATATTGTTGTTGTTTGTTTAAACCACAACTATTTATCCTCTCCGCCTGCATGCTGCAGCCGCTGCGGCCGCTGCGGTCAGTGCGGTCAGTGCGGTCAGCTGCAGTCTGCTGCAGTCTGCTGCAGTCTGCTGCAGTCAGTGCAGTCAGCTGCAGTCTGCTGCAGTCTGCTGCGGTCAGTGCAGACTGCTGCAGTCAGTGCGGCAGTATGAAACAACCCTTACGATGAGCTACGCTTAAATGGAGTATTGCCGAATTGCGTCGCGATTGCAATCGCATGAGGCCTAAGGCATACCTCGCGCGATTTCGTCAAACCGCTACATCCATGCAACTTGACAGTTTGCTAGATATTTACAAATCAATCGTGTGCGGGTCCTAAGTGCATAGTCGCGTAGCTACCGTAGGTTATGGCAGAAGCTTTGAGTTCTAGCTGATGCAAAACGCCGCCGTCGACGCGCCGACCAGTTACGAAGAGGCGTTGCGGTGCCAGATCGCGCAGCAACTGGAATCGCTGAAGTAAGCTTGGCCTGAGGTATGTTTGCTCAACGCAATCATGACAAAGATCATCTAAATACGTAAGCAAATCTATGAAGCAACGACACATACCCCTTGCATGCCCTTTTTATCCGACGGATTTAGTAAGGACATCAAACGATGCATAATACGAGCAAGTTAGAAAATGAAGTAATGCTGGTCAACATTCCTAGTAATATAATAATACTATGTGGAAGTGATCAAAAATAGAGTGTATGATTCAGACTGTGCATTGGAAAGTGCGTCTGCTCTATAAGAAGCTGGTAACTCTGCAAAGGAGGGTATTTTTGCCAGCTAGAGTGCTTCAGTTATGGAAGTTGTTTATATAGGAGAGACCGGAAGGATACTAAGTATTACAATGAAGGAATGTTTGGCCAAAAAAGGTGGAGAACAATGCCATCACCATTGCGAAACCATGAAGTCGAGGCACATAAAGTGACCATTTTAATGTAAAATGCACGATATTAGCGTTTGAAACCGGAATTTCGGCAAGAAAGACATTGAAGGCAGCATGAATATCCGCCGGAAATTCGGGAATGAATAATAAAAATGAGTTTTAGTAGGTTGTACCTAAACAAGGTCTGGACGCCGCAAGTTAGAGATGTCGTATAGACTGACGAATACAAAACTGCAATCTCTTTTAGGCCTTTAAAGAAGACGATACTTGTCGAAACTTTAGGCAATAAAGGTCCACCACAAGTACCTGTCTGGCATAAAATCTCAATCACAAAGTCAACTAAATGCCGAGGTCTGAAGAAGAGAGCACGTGGAATCTAGAAATTCCATTGAATAAGATATCTCAGCGCTTCTATGAATCTGAGGCATGTAGTGTAAAAAACTTGAGTGTACTGTGTAACATCTTTTGGCTAGTTTATTGCAAAATTCCAGGGTTCTCCTAAGATTTGGGACAATCAAATTCTCCTCCTCATTTTTATGCTTTTCTCTTACAGTAGATTTGAAACTAATAGGCGTAATTACAGAATGTGTCTACTGACCAGAGTAGTAGGGAAGACGAGGTTGAACACATAGTAGAAGCTCTGTCTCTTCAAAGTGAGCTTCATTGAGACCATAGAGACGCTCTCATTCGTACGTTCCATAGATCTCGTCGTACCATTCCGTAAACGAGCATCTTTCAGCACCCATTCCTGAAAAAATCTTTTCTTTTTCGTTACTACCATCACGAAAATCTTACCTGGTTATCGTAGAAGTCGCCAAGGTCGATTTCTTCCTTTTCGACGAGAAAATTCACCACATCGCTTTGGTATGTCCACGAGCCGCACTGAAATTGGCAGTCTTTTGCTCTCTCTCGAAACGAACGCCTTGCATGCAAAACAAGCGGTCATTGCTTATTGTTGGAGTGCAGCCAACAGCCCAAACTTCCTCTTGTCAGCTCGAGAACCCGGAGACCCCACCCCAACCCCGTTGGTCCCCCCGCCGAAAAATTGCTTACTTCCGAGCGTCGCCGCTGTGGTCTGTGTGTGGCGGGCGATTGATTGTGCTATGTGTGTAACGGCATTGTCATGCCTTACCAACCTGCTCAGGTAATGAGAGCAGCAGCGGTTGTGCTTCTACTACTCCTGGACCTTGTAAATAGTCAGCCAAGTGACCCTGTCATCGTCCACAAAGATTTGGTGGTCCGCGACGATCCCCGACCCCTCTCTTCCCTTGTCTCTGAAGCCGCCGTCGTTAACGAGGTATCTGCCGTGCCTTCCGAAACGAACGCCACTCAGAAAAAACGTCGGAATGTGTACGACATGGCACCTTCGACCGGAACTAATGTCGACAAAATCAAGGATATCGAACTTGGACCCACTAGCATTGTCATTGCTACCACTAAACAAGGTACGCAAGACTATATAGCACGAGTGTAGAAGAGATTTTGAAGCCATCATCGAAAAAAGGAATTAACTCTAAAGCTGTGGAGTTTTGGTTCATGAGACCCGCATCTCACCAATGTCCTCCTGTTGAAATAAATCATATTAAAAAAGGACTATACAATGTTTTGTGACAATTCTTGTCATTTGATTAGTTCACATATTTTGTAGAAAGCTAAGAAATCGCGGAGAAAGGAGTGAAAATTACACCAATTTTGTTGGATGAAAAGATCCTAAAATGTGTTCTTGTCTTGAAACGTGGGCATCTTTGACTGTAAGTTGATGTTCTGATATTTATTATGGTTGGTATGGTGGAAAAATTACCCTTACTGACCTAACATTTTGAACAGTCTGAGTTTTATGTCTATGATAACTTGAATTACAGGAAGCAAAGCTTTTCTCTTTTCACGCAAACATACCTGAATAGCTTGCTTACAAGGTAGGAATAGAAAGAGTTTTAGAACTTTTCCCGACATTTGCGGAACATTTCATCACAAAGTAATCGTCCCATTCAGCTTGAAGCTTCTTTCCATACCAACCTTCTATTTCATTTTCCAGTGAGAAGGGCGCAGCTCTGATATCTTTGAACTCTGGCCGTTATTTCAATATCATGTTTATATTTGACAATCCCAAGCTTTTCGCAGAATTCTCTAAGGGTTGGTTTAATTCGACAAATTATGAGCTGTTTCCATAACTATAGGCTTTCTTACTGTATGGAAAATTTCTACTACATGCTTGAGTCTGTCTTAACATTCGCTGTGCTACTACAAACTAACAAATCTTCTTCCGCAAGAAAAATTTTTCTTAGCTCATGCTTTCTGTTCACTTTATACACCTTGACTTCAGCCTTTGAAGGTTCCAAATCCAGTTTATTCTCGTTGTTTGAAAGCTCATATCCTTCCAGTGTTTGAATCTGCATAAATTGAGGCAGAAAATATCATGTATCTTCCTTGCTTTTTTGACTTTTTTGGTCTGTAGTGTTCACTTTTGTTTTCATCGCTTTCTTCTAGGGCCTGTGGATTCACTAAAGATCCACATCGAACTGACTGACCTGCAGGACAACCGAGCTCTGCCTCCAATCGACCTCTTTGGGCTTTTTCTTGTTGTAGCTAGAGGTTAGTACCGCTTCTTTTGAGTTAATAGCCGCTAGGCCGCTAGGAGAGCTAGTTATTTATCAGCTGAGATTTTCCGCTCGGATGATTTTGAACGCGAGGTAGTCTTGTAATTTTTCTCACGAGAAGCGAAGAATTTCGATATTTTTCTTTTTCACTTAATTGTTCTGCAGCGTAGTGGTGAAAGCCTAAGCACGTCATGTAGGTCCAAGCAATATAATGTACTTGTATGGCATTCCCAGAAGGCTACATTGCTTGAAATGTCCTAGAAATTTTCTCAAGACTTGCTCATGTAAGCATGCTTGAAGTTTGGAAAGAACAACTCAGAAACCAAAGCGACTTCAAAATACAGGGTGTCCGTAAAGTATGTATACACTGTTTGATCGTTAATATCTTTCCTCCCAACAAGTCTTTTGTCTTGCTTCAGGTACCGTTTTGTAGAGCTGGCTTCAACTTAGACTTACAGTATGGAGCGAATCATGTATTGCTTTTCATTACTGTAGGATTACGAACTTCCAGCATATGGAACCAATGTGAAATATACCACTTAACAAAATTTTCTTCAAAAAATCTGAAAATGGTGTACTAGGGTTTTCGCGCATGCTGATTCACCCAACAACTTTTTACAAGTGTTTTCGGCTTTTTTGACGGTGTAATTACATTTTTGACAAATGCTGGAAATTGAGTTACCACGATTTACCGGGGATAACTTAGGAAGAAAGCATCACAGTAAAATGGGAATTTCAAATTCGAAATCAGCGGCTACCATTACCGTAGTATAAGAGTTTTTGGCTTGTATGGTTTTGTTCCGAGGCAGAATATAGCCTCCAATGGCCTAAAATCTTTGTCGAAGTTCGTACATAATCCTACAGTAATGAAGAGAGATAGATGATTCGCTCCAAACTGTAAATCTAAGTTTAACCTCGCTCTACAAAACGCTATCTGAAGCAAGGCAAAATTCTTGTTGGGAGGAAAGATATTAATGATCAAACAGTGTATACATACTTTACGGACACTCTGTATAATAAGTTCATCCCTAAAAAAATCTTCAAGATTCATTTTTTCATTTTTTTCTAGGCCGTTACACAGTTCCATTTCTAAAGCCGGAACGCTGGTATGCGTTATCATTTACTAGCGAGAATACGGTAGATGGAGAAGTAAACGTAAACAAAGAGACCCGGCTTATACGGACCACTAGCCGTCAACACAATGTCACTGCTCCTGAGGATTTGTATGAGGTATCTCAATTATTGAATCAGTTTTGGATAGTTCAAAAGAGATTTTTTTTGCTAAAAATGCTATCCTATTCTAGAAGTTGGCTAAAAATGCTATCCTATTTTAGAAGTTGCTGCCTTAAAAAATTCCTCAATGATTTAGGTCGAAGTGCATCGGGATCTTGATGGAGAAATAAATGCAGAAAAGATTTATATCACACTGAAGTGGAGGGGAGCAGAGAGGTAAATCCTAATAAAGTAACGAATTTAACATTACAAAAAAGGATCAAAGAAGGCTCACGCAAACTTTAATAAACTTCACTGCGTTAATAACCCATTTTGCATTTATAATAACGGTAACTTATTTTTCGAATTTTTCAAATTTATGCCATTGTGCTCATAAAAATTGGTGCTTGCAGTTCTTGAACGCGGTTCTAACTTTTTCATCTCCTTTCGGCTAGATTTTTTCTTCCTAAGACCACGTGCATTATTTTACTTTGTGCAATTTTCCACTTTCTTGAGAATTTTTTTCCACGGATCCGGCACTCCAGAAAAAACCATTTGTGCAAGTTTTTGAATTCGTGATTCATAGTGGTTTGCCTGCAGCTCCAAGACTTTTTCTTATGAAAATGTTCTGGAAAAAAGATACTTCTTACACCGGTTTTATCCTCTGAAAAACCCTTAAGATCCATGAAAATGCCCCTTAATATTTAAAGAAATCAAAGATGTCCTATTAAAATTCACATCTTTGAAAAAAAAATAAGATGAACTAGGTCTTACTGTGAAAAAGTTTATGAAAAAAGATTTGCGGTTCAACGCCATGCATCGTTCTCCCAATTTTGGATAAAAACATAGATTCTGAGGCTTGGAAAAACGGTTATAATTTCCCTAGTCTGGTAAAAAAATCCCCTCGTCCCATCCTTTGCCTTTCTCCTTTGATGTATAATCTCATAGCTGCACTAAGAAATTTACAAGTCGTAATAGAACGCTGTGTCTAATTCAATGCAGTGGACCGAACATAATCACATATCCCTTGGACATGCACACTTTTTTTTCTTATAATCTGAATTAGGTTTCCCAATGGCGAAGTGTACGTCACCGTGAAAGTACAATGTGGAACGTCTTCGACTACTGAGAACATGATTCTACATCCAGAGGAGGATTCGGTTACCATAGAGATTTCGGTGAGAATCATTTTTTGCGTGAAATAATTCTTCCGGAGATTTATGTCACAGGATTAGAATGCCGACAAATAGCTTTCCACAGTGTTGACGTTTTTTCGCAAGTCTTAGAAAAAATTTGACTACTTCTTTAATCAACAACGGTACCTTTGTTTCGCATTCACTCGCAGGGAGTACATTACTAATTTTTTCGTTCATCACATGCAAACCGCATGCCTGGACATACATCTATGCAGAGCAAACTTTTATCTATTCCTGCTTTCCGCAAGCATTCTTTACTTCTTGCTATCCATCCCATTTTAGACCTCTACGCGTAGTTGACTTTGAGACGCGGTCCAGCTCTTCTTGAGCTTACCTTTGGGTCTTTTACCTGGCGCCTCCACCGCCAAGGCTGCTCCGTAATGCGACTTTCCTCCCTCCGTACATGCCCATACCATTGTAACCGGTTTTAATGCGCTCTCTGGGCAGCTAAGCTACTTTCATTTTGGCTTATATAGTGTCATTGCGGATGTGGTCTTTCAGTGTGACTCCCAAGGTCCATCGAGCATCCTTGTTTCCAAGGCGCTGAGCTTGCGCTCTTCATACCGCGTGCAAGGCCAGCACTCGCTGCCATAAAGTACTGCTGGACGGATAACGGTCCGGTGCAGTTAGGATTGTTTTGTTTCAGGCAGCCATTGTTTTTTTGCACAGATTTCTAGTTAGGTTTCTTTACATCATCCACGCTGTGTTCATGCTGCCTGTGACCTCCTCTTGTAGGCCTCTACCCTGAGATGAGTCTGCCTGGGTACTTGTATGACGTTAGCGTCGTCTTCTGTGGCTGTTCACCATCGATGCTTATTGTACCAGGAGTTGCCATATACCATTGCCATATATTCTGTCTTTCTGGTGCTGAGCTGCAAGCCATGCAGCTCAAGCCCATTTTTCGATTTGTCTAGTTCTCTTGTAATTCCTTTCTGGTACTTGCTTCAATACCACATCATCCGCCCTTAATCTGAAACTCTTTTGATTGCCCTGCTGCTGCTTGCTGAATTAGAGCGTTGTTGTGGAGCAGTATCCACAGAACGTACTCCTCGTCATGTGTTTCCGTAAGGCCCACCATATGACTTCGAAGCACCTTATCAAAGGCTTTATCCAGCTCTAGAAAGGCTGCATGAAGTTCTTTCTGCCTATCTCCATACCTTCTCCATCGCTTTTAAACGGATGGATGACCTTGGTTATACTGATCTTTCCAGAAATCCACACTAACTCGATGACAACTCTATGATTACCTCAAAGACTCGCCTCGATTATTCGCGCGGAGATCTTTAGAGTGTGCTCATCAATCGGATTGGTCGGTAGGATGCACAAATTGCTATGTATCCTTTGTTCTTACATAACGGAATTATTTTGCTGGGATATCAGTCGCGAGGCATACTAGCTTCTTATGATTTGATTGGAAAGGCTTGCTGACTATGAGGATCCGAACTTTCCGCATATTCTTCAAAACTCGCTTGATATGTCATCTGGGCCGGCTCCTTCCCGTTCTTTGTTTTTCACAGAGCTAGCCACATCCTCTCCCGTAACTACTGGTGGTTCCTTCTAAGGGTAGCTTCTGAGATGGATTTGAAGTGCGACCTGTAGTGGCAAACTCTTCGAAGTAGGTTTCCCTCAATGACGTCCTCTGGTTTTCTTAACGTCCTACCAAATTTGTTTTGATATGAAGAGAGGCTCTATATTTCTTTGTAGACTCCGCTCCTTTTCTTGCTGTCCGTTTTGTCTCACACCTCTCGCCCCAGTTGTTCGCCGAGCTCTTTCATGTACTCCTGTTTTATACAGAAGCCTTCGCAGCGTGTTTGGCTTGTTAGTTTGACTTACGATCGTCCTCTGTACAGTGTCTGCCACCGCTTGCACGCATCCCTCTTCTTTTTCATGATTTTGCACTTCGTCATTCCACAACCACATTTCTTGGTTGATCCTCCTTCTTCCTGGCTATGTAGTTCCCAGGGTCATGTATGCTGGATCCGACATTCCAAGCTTGCCCAGGGTCTTTTTGCGTCCTCTTGCAGGCTTAAGAGAGTTGTCAGTATTGCTTGCTTCGAGGGGCTGTTGGTCTCCAATTCTTAACATTTGATGCGCGACCTGGTCGCTAATATGCATCTCTATACGTCACCTTTTCCAACAATTTATTCGTCGGCAAGAAAATTTTGTGATATTACAAAGTCACGATAATGTCTTGGATCTGCCATCTTCGCACTCTTATCTTCCTCGACATTGTGACAGCAAAACCAACATAGCAATTTAGATGGACGTCAACTACGATTTGGAAACGTTGGACCCAGATTTGAAGAAAGTGCTTGCTCACGCTACGCCGCTAAAATGTCACAGGCAAGGCTGGAAAATGCTTAGAGATGAAAATTTGACGAAATGAGTATTATTAAGGTTATGTTGGGTGAGTTCACTCAGAACCACATCACCTTCTTTGGCAGAAACCTTCGAAAATGTTGCTGTAGAGCAATGCCAACGAATCGAGGGCACTGAAGTGACAGACTATTTAAGGCAAATGAGCCGGTACACGGTTAGTTCACAGAGGGGCAAGGTTTCTTCCAGGCGAACGGTTTTTTTAGAGCAAACCCTACAGAAAAGACTTTAAAAAATAATAATGTGGATTCTAAGCTTGTCTTCCTTGCCGTTTGAGATATCATAACCTTTGATTCAACTGGCTTGGCGGCTGGAAGGCGGGACTTTGTGACCTATTTAAGGCCTCTCGCGCCCGCGACGCAGTCTGCGTCTCTCCCGCGCGCGTGCTTTCTGATTATTACCTAGGCTCAGTTAGGTCATGAAGCCCCGCCTTCGCCGCCAAGCCAGTTGAATCAAAGGGTATTTATCGTGAGGTTACAGTAATCTTATCATACCGCGCGTGAAAAACTGGCTCTGCATGTGAGAAACTTTTGTATTCCATTTACAGCTTCTGAGGACCGTCACTGGTTAACTCTTATTGGCTAGCGAGGATACGGTAGTATACGGTAATGATTTCAGGTGGAGAAACGCGATTCTGGATATAAGCTGGTCGTGGATACGGCGATTCATGAGAACAAGGAAGAAGGCTATGTCACTCTTACTGCCCAAAATCTTGCCAAAGTCGATAGCGAACCTCGGAAGAAAACCTTTAGGTTTATAAATTTTCCTTTCTCATCAAGTAATATAATTTATAGGGCCATTTTCAGTACCGGAAAATCAAATGGCACATTTTGTCTACCTCTATCGTCGGATTCTGTGTATACCGTGCAGTACAAGTACACTAAAACGAAACCATTCCAATATAGCAATGAAGAACACTTTCTTGTGGAGACACCTTCGAATTCGGAAAATTTCACCGAGTCATCTCAGCCACTGGTCGAAACCACTTTTGAATTGGAAAATCGCACAGTGGGCGAGAACCAAGTGATCCAGATCCCGGTCGTCACCCTTTCTCGGGGAGGAGCCTTTTCAACCGCGGACGTAAAAATGAGCATAGACCCTCTTTGTGAGGAAAATGCTACTGCTACCACAGTCGAATTTACTGATGAAAATTTAAGCAAAAAATTTGAGTTAACTACCGTAATCTGCTCGAATTTCCCGCAAGCAAAATTTTGTAATGAGACGGGTGTTTACCCGGATTGCAGTCCAATTCTTTGCTACTCGACCGAAGTCTCCCACGAAGGAGTTGTTTACCCATCATCAGAATCTCATTGTGTAAATGTGACCGAACAAATTCCACTTAATAGATCCACCCATGTAAGGTGTTGTACAGCTTTGTTGCTCATTGTTCTTGAATTTCTATACTTATAATAAACTATTATTACTTATCTTCCCTGTTCCCTATTTCAACCAAGAAAAAGAAGGAAAAATCTTGTAATCTTACCGAGAAAGAGCAGGTTTGCGAGTCGAATGGAAATCGTTTGAAATTGATGGGACAAAAACTTTTCGACGAAATCGAGACAAACATCCGAACACGGCCATCCGACTGAATCTGAGCTGGCGCATCAGGCGCATACTCCGGAACTCGTCCATAAACACTGAAAAAACAGACCTTGGCTTTTTACGAAAATGGAATTTTTCAGTTCAGATCTACATCTGGTCGAATATAAGTAAACATTAAAAGCAAAGTTAACGTTGTTAGTAAACGATGTTTAACTGTGTCTTCCACAATCAGTAGAGATGATAATTAGGACATTGCGACATGACCTTGTATGGTTTTTGCAGTACTAGCTAATGTCGCATATCGAGTGTCATATTCATTAGATTGAAATGATTTCTGTGCTCACGCAAAATAGAAAAGGATCTTTATGTTGAGTAATATAGGTTTACGTGTTTTACCCTCGAAGAACGGAACAATAATATAATTTTTTTTGAAATGCCGATAAATGATTCGTTGAGCCTGTAGTAGACGGATTTTGAATCGCTCATTTTGACAAATGGGACAGAGTACTTTGGAGGAAAAGCTTGTTTTGCAAAGAGTACAATAAACATGAGAATTTTTCAGGTTTTGAAGAACCTGCTGCAAAATTTACGGCTAAATGAAGCCTATAAGAATCTGTGTGGTCCGTATTGCTCATACATAGTAGAGCCAATGCTTAGGTTTTTTGGTATGGTTTTTGCTTACTAATTAATTTCAAGCTCGATTGTCAAATTGCCAAGCTAATACGACTTCCGTGCCGAGGTAAAGTGGGAGCTACGATGAACTACTGAGGAGAAAACGTACAATAAACGATAATCCTTTCAAAAAACAAATCGAAATTTTCTGAAGAGTAATTTGAAGCTACACTTCAAATTTCGGAAGTCAAGCGGTGGTGAAACAAAGTCGCTTTTTCATCATTTCACCTATGAATTAGTTGCTTTAAATATTAGGTTGGTGCAAAAGTAATGCGCGTTTTTCTAGCCCTTCTTTCAGGACAACTTTTCTCCATCAAATTTTCTCCTTTGAAAGAAACTTAACAAACTATCAAGAAGCTCCTTTCATGCTCTATTTAATGGTGTTTAAGAGAAGCTTCTAGCCTCATTCATTGAAAATTTAAAGAGCTTCATACAACTGCACTCAAAACCTGAATTTCATTGCACTTACTTTTTCGGCCAGAATTCAAGCGCGAGTAAAGGCCTTCTTTTGAAAATTTGACTACTGTATGTAGCAGAAATTTTCTACGTTACGCATGCTTTACTGTTTTCCTAAAAATTACTTAGACTGAGATCTCGGCGCCTCAACATGAGTAATGGTTTTGGCCATTCTGCGGCTCATAGCTTTCCTTTGAAGAAAGCAATCGCCAAAGTTTTGCTCATTTCTGTAAGCGTAAGGGTGGGCCTCCTGCTGGCAGTTTTTGCAGAAATGTGGAAGCTTTTCAGAACACAGAAAATCAAAAATCTCCATATTTTGGGATTTTGAGGGCTACGAAAAAATGTCGAAAAAAGTGGACAATTTCAAATATTATTTTTTTCCTTCTCGCAAATATTCTTTATTTGAGCTCTTTTGTACTTTTTTTGTACTACTGGCTTGCGGCTACAAGATAGTCAACTTATCATTTACACCGACAAGTCCTGAAAGAAGTTATGAGCAGTTGAAAACGAGGTTTCCAAAAAAATTTTTTTTTGCTTATCAATCCATATTTTTCCACCGATTTGCGACGTTAACATAGGTTAATGTGCGCTGTATAGAGAGAGGTTTGATGCCTTTGATGAACTTTGCCGCACTAAAAAATATGGATTTTTTAGAAGGTTATAGCACGTCAAAGTGAGAACTCGTAAAACGCACATTACTTTTGCACCAACCTAATAGAATTCTGAAATTAGCAAATTTATGTATACTCCATAGCAGATTGTTGTGCTCTGATAATTCTTCTTACAATGCAGTCGAGAGCCCTTTCAGTACTCTAAAAATTTATTTTGCTGCAAATTTGTTATTTGACATCTTCTATCAAACCACAGTCTCTTCTTCAAAAATGACTTTCTTATACGAATGGCGATTAAAATCAAGGCACAGCATTTCTGGTACCGCGGCCAAAAAGGTGCCAGTATAGAAACTTTGTTAAAATTTGCAAGCTACAAAAGACTTATGTGTTGATCAGATTCTGCAGACTCTCATATACCGTGATTTCATTATTTATAGTAGATGATGGAATATTTTGGTCCCCATTGGGTTAGAATTGATTAAAGTCGCTATATAATTCCGACGTAATTAAGGCTGCAAAGTACATGCAACCTTGACTTTGCAGTCAATTTAGACGATGATGATAAAAATAGAGGAGAGGATTAGGGCAAAGCTTGCACTTGTAATTCCACAAAACCCATTCTGTGATTGAATCTCGAACAAAAAAGATCTACGAAGATATTTTCAAAAAAGTCGACTTAATCGGTGAAAAGAAACATCTTATATATAAAGCTGAATGTCTGTTTGTCTGTCTGTCTGTCTGTCTGTCTGTCTGTATGTCTGTCTGTCTGTATGTGTGTACGTATGTTCCGAATAGAAAATTCCATTTCTGAACCGATCGGGACCAAACTTGGCACACATACACTTCGGGCCCCGGCGCGTGTCATAGGCTACTTTTCGTATCGATCGATATCGATTTTATCGATTTTTTGCAAAATTTGAGCTACGGGGCTGGGAGTTGGCACAGGGGGGTAAATGAGCACGGGGATTCCGCGTAATCAGCATGCTCGATTACCCCCTGTGCCAAATCCCAGCCCCCTAGCCAAATTTTGCAAAAAATCGATAAAATCGACATCGATCGATAACGAAAAGTGGACTGTGACACCCGCCGGGGCCGAAGTGTATGTGTGCCAAGTTTGGTCCCGATCGGTTCAGAAATGGAATTTTCTATTCGGAACATACGGCGGAGCCGGGTAAGCCAGCTAGTCTTATATATAAAGCTGAATGTCTGTTTGTCTGTATGTCTGTCTGTCTGTCTGTCTGTGTGTACGTATGTTCCGAATAGAAAATTCCATTTCTGAACCGATCCGGACCAAACTTGGCACACATACACTTCGGGCCCCGGCGGGTGTCATAGGCTACTTTTCGTCATCGATCGATATCGATTTTATCGATTTTTATCGATTTTTTTGCTGAGTTCACCTACGGGGCTGGGAGTTGGCACAGGGGGGTAATCGAGCATGGGGATTCTGAATACAATATTGGTTTTCAGGATTATCGATTACTTTTATCGATTTTATCGATTTTTTTGCAAAGTTTGAGCTACGGGGCTGGGAGTTGGCACAGGGGGGTAATCGAGCATGGGGATTCCGAATACAATATTGGTTTTCAGGATTATCGATTACTTTTATCGATTTTATCGATTTTTTTGCAAAGTTTGAGCTACGGGGCTGGGAGTTGGCACAGGGGGGTAATCGAGCATGGGGATTCCGAATACAATATTGGTTTTCAGGATTATCGATTACTTTTATCGATTTTATCGATTTTTTTGCAAAGTTTGAGCTAGGGGGCTGGGAGTTGGCACAGGGGGGTAATCGAGCATGCTGATCATCCCCAAGGGGGGTGATCAGCATGCTCGAACACCCCTGTGCCAAATTCCAGCCCCCTAGCTCAAATTTTCAAAAAATCGATAAAATCGATAAAAGTAATGGGCGATCTTGAAAACTAGTATTGTATTCGTAATCTGCATGCTCGATTACCCTCTGTGCAAACTCCCAGCCCCGCAGGTCAAACTTTGCAAAAAAATCGATAAAATCGATAAAAGTAATGGACGATCCTGAAAACTAATATTGTATTCGGAATCCCCATGCTCACTTCCCCCCTGTGCCAACTCCTAGCCCTGTAGGTGAACTCTGCCAAAAAATCGATAAAATCAATAAAAGTAATCGATAATTCTGAAAACTAATATTGTATCCGGAATCCTCATGCTCACTTCCCCCCTGTGCCAACTCCTAGCCCTGTAGGTGAACTCTGCAAAAAAATCGATAAAAATCGGTAAAATCGACATCGATCGATAACGAAAAGTGGACTGTGACACCCGCCGGGGCCCGAGGTGTATGTGTGCCAAGTTTGGTTCGGATACGGCGGAGCCGGGTAAGCCAGCTAGTATGTTATAAAGTGCGGTTCATAATTATACGAACACCCAAAATTTTGTAAGTTTTCGGACTTTTTGAGAGAAACTCAAAAAGCCGTTGATACTACGCGATAGAACACAGCCGAAAACGGTATATGATCCATAAGAATGGAAATTGATGTCAATCTTAGGAGTGTTTTTGCGCTTAATGCGAATTTTTAGGGGTTCATAATTATACGAACACCTCAAACAAAGGTCCATTTTCCATTCAAGATTGCAATCATCTGAGTCCAAATTTTTTGTAGAGTTACAGTAACAAAGTCTAACATATCTGCTACACACTGAACCCAGTGCAGTTCAAAAAGAGGGCCGTTACTTTTTTCAGAATTCTCTAAATGCTTTTGGAGTGATTGTGCTCCAAAAGCATCCGTTCTTCTTGGTTTACGCGCTCTAAATAGCTTTTACCAAAGCTATGAGATAAAATAAGCTCTTTCGATAGGTATTTTGTTCGACGCTTGGAAAATCTTTGCGTTTTCGTGCCGTTTTTCAACCAAGTTCCAACCTTACCCTAGAGTTAGCACGATTTCGAGCCTCAAAACTCAGCTTCTGAAGCCGACAATGAAGTAAGCATATAGTATGTAGAAGTTCATAAAAATGTATATTTGGCTAGAAAAAATCAGCAGCGTTGAGCGTTTGTTTTGGCCTCGCAGACGTCATTTCACCAAAAACACTGTTTTTACTATTGCAGTCACACCTTTATTTGGTTTGTAGCTCCACAGCCTCAAGATCAGTTCTACA